ATCCCTGTGGGTCCTTTCCACCTCTGTGGTATTCTGTGATCTCTGCTGCCTGAATCTCCCCTTCCCCTCCTGCTGTGGTCAACCCTCGAGCAAACAAGCACCTGGTGCAGGTGCCAGGTTTGTTTTGCACCTGGAGAGCTGGGATGGAGAGGGCTGAAGGCAGAGGAGGGGGAGAACAACCACTCCTACCTCCAAACCCACGAGCAGCTCCTTTATCTCCCCTAAGGTGGGATTTTTCCCCCCCATTATTCCATTCTTTGGGGAGGAGTTCCTGCTCTGCAATTACCTTACCCAGGGGAGCAAAGCCAGGCCTGAGCCAAGCAGTTTCCAGCCGGGAAGAAAGAGGCTCTTCGGAGCCTTTCCAGGAGTTAATAAAAGCATTTGGCATTTTGTTAAGTTGTGACAATTTTTAAAGAGGATTTTCTGCCTCGAGACCTGCAGGTTTGTTGTGGTTTGTTTTGTGTGGTTTTTTCCCCCTCTTCCCTTCCTCAAAAATAAGGAGAAAAGCCAAAAGCAAACGGATTTGTCATAACACCTCTTTGGAGCAGAGCACAACATGACTTAAATCCTTTATTGCTTCAGAGACGTTGGTCCAAGGCTGAAACTCAGCTGTCACAACCCCCTGACAGCTCTGGCAACCTTGGCATTCCGAAGGGAGTTGGGGAAAAACACCCACACTTTGATAAAGCTCTGAATGTTTTCTCCCAGGCAAAACTGGGAGCAGGATTTGCAGGAGGAGAAGGAGGTTCTTTTCAGGGAGTTCTGTTCGGAAGCAGCTCATCCATTCGGAGCAGATAAATGTTCCCACAAACACTGAGCTGCTCTGAGCTCCCCTGAAACAAGACACTTGAAATAAATCACTTCCACTGGCTCAAGGTATCGCAAATGCCAAGAGATATTTACGTCACTAAAAATACACAGAATTACAGATAAATCCGTGTCCTCCAAGCAAACCAGAAGCCTTCAGTATTTTTCCTTGAGCTAAAGGAAAAGCAGCCCAGGTGCTGCAGGTGGAGGAGAGCCAGAAAGTATTGGGGAAGGAGAATAGACAGAATATTTCTCCAGAAAAGAGATGAGGCTTGGAGCAACCTGGTCCATGGAAGGTGTCCCTGCCCATGGAAGGGGCTGGACCTGGATGAGCTCTGCCTGGGTACAAGCCCGGGCTGTTGGGGACCCTCTGCTCCCCAGGTACTTCACCTTACACCCTGCTCTCACTCAGGGGCAAACAGAAGAGTCTGAGCTAAGCAGGTTATTTATTCCCAACTCCAAATCCAGCCAAAAAACCCCAAGCAGATTAAATTCCCTAATCTTTAATTAGCACCTACTCCAGCCCATCCCAAAAGGAACTCGTCTGGCTCCCAGTCCAGGAGCAAAATGCAGCCAGCCCGGCCCTGGGAGAAAGCCCTCACCTGGAAACCAGCTGGGTCCTTGTGGCAGAAATCCTCAGGAACATTGAAATCACTTTAAGAACAAGAGTTCTGTGCACAGAACCATGCTCTTAGTGCTGCACCTCGTGGTCACCTTCCCCTCTGGGACCTGGTTCCCCTGAGCATCCCAAAGCTCCTCTGCAGAGTCGGGGTTTGAGCACTGCAGGGGCTGCAGGTTCTTTTTGTGCTTCATTAACAGGCAAGGCAAGAACGTGGCTGAGCTCTGTGTGTCCACTACTGGAGCTGCCCTGGAGCCCAGGCCAGCCCTGCACCGAGCACCCAGAGCAGGGACACGGTGCCACCACCCAGAGCTGGGACACGGTGCCACCAGCCAGAGCTGGGACACCCAGCGCAGAAACGGGCACAGGTCCCCTCACCCCCCTGCCCAATTTCCCCTCACACCACCCAGCACCACCAGCCCCTCCTGCCCAGCCCGGTGCCTTCTGGTGGTGCCACGAGCACGATGGAGAACCAGGAGCCCCCAGGCCCATGTCTGCAGCCCCTGGGCTGTTCCAGAGGTTCCCAGCAGCCCCCCAGTGCCAGATGTCCCTGCTGCTCCCGTCCCTTCCCGCCAGCCAGGGCTGTGCTTGGAGCCTTCCTAATAACATCCTGCCCACCCTCCAAAGTCATGTTCACCCTGCCCCTCCTGCCCCTTCCCCGCCCTGGCTCTCACCTGTGTGTGCAGGTGAGACACCTCCCTTGGAGGCACCTCGGGGTGCTGCTGGTGCTGCTCTCTCCTGCTTCTCACTGTGTCTCCAGGGTGAGGAATGAGGGAAGGGTTGGGCATGGCCCAAGTGCGGCGGCGCTGGCAGGAGCCCGGAATGTCCAGCTGACAGCTGAGCTGTGCCCGGGAGAAACCCTGCGTGGGACAGGGATCAGCCCAGGCCAGGGCTCGGGACCTGCCTGTGCTCAGCCTTCCAGCAAGGCCACACTCCAGCCTCTTGGGCAATCAGCTCTCCAGGAAAACAACTGGCCCTTTGGGCCAGGCTGTTCTGCACTGACCCACCCCCGTGTTTACCACCTCCCTGCAGAGCGGGCTGGGGCTGGGGCTGGGAAAGGGATGGATATCCGGAGCTTCCCGGAGCTCCCAAACCCACCTGCTGGGTGGGAAAACACGCCAGGGAGACTGGGGAGGAGAGACCCAGGGGCTGCGAGCCAGGAATGGGGTGGTGAGGGGCTGGGGTGCTGTGGGACACCAAATCACCCATCTTTGTGGTATTTATGGCAAGGGGGGCAATGCCCAGGGTGAGAGGAGGGTTTGCTCAAAGCTGGGCAGCAGGTGAGAGGATCCAGAGACATGGGAGCAGTGTGGGGAATGGAAAAATCCCAGGAACTTCCTGCCAGGGCCAGACTGTCTCCTGCAGCCAGGCAAGGACAGCGTGGTGTCCTCTCCAGCGTGTGCCCAGGGCAGGCTCTGGACATGTTGTGCCAGCCCCTGCACCCCAAGGAGAGGGACCCATGTGTTATTTAGGAGATCACAAGGCAAACACAGCCTGGGCAGTGCCTGGGACAAGGAGGGGATGTGCCCACTCCCACCCCCAGTCCCAGACCAGTCCCCAACAGGACCTTGAGGACTTCAGCAAACCCCTGCCCAGGCCTGGGGCCCCAGGGCTGCCATGGGGGCTTTGCAGCAAACGGCAGGAGGTTGGGAATTGCGTGTGGAATTACACCAAACAGGACCATTTCCTAACCCTGAATATATTGCAGTTGTAACTTAGCAACCTCAGCTGGGGAAAAGCATCCCGACAGGAATGCGGGTCCTGAGGAGATGCAGCCATGCATTCCTTTTCTGTTCCCAAACCTTAGACACGACTCTGGCCAGAGGAGGCAGCTCCTGACAGCCACAGAGCCACCCTCCTGTGCCGCTGGAAATGCCCCCCTTTGTCACCCAGACCCACAGGATGAGATCAATTAAACATTTCTCAAACCAAACATGAGCCAACCATGTTACACAACAGTGACTGAGGGACCACTCCTTCCACTTCAGGGGACCTGGGAGAAGCTGGAACTCGCAGATGTTCCACCAACACTCAGGAAAATGAGCCCTGAAGACAACCTGATTTACCATCAAGATGTGCTTATGTGCAACAGCCTCGGAGCAGGGCAGGGACATCCATCCCACTCCATCCTCATTACTTCCCTCATCACTTACCAGTCTTCCTATACCATCACCTGGCACATGTCCCAAAAGTCCACTGAGCTCACCACGGCCTGAGGGTGCCCCAAGGCACAGGAGCAGCAGCAGCTTCTGGGAAATGGAGCTCCCTGGGGCAGATCCACCTGATCCGAGCAAAACCACCTGGAACAGTCTGTGATTTCTCCATTAAAAATAAAGGTAACAATTATTTGTAATAAATTTATTTTTTATATTGATTTACAGAGCTAAATGGAACATATAAACAGCACCAAGCCATTGAAGTTTGTTCTACAAAACCAGGTTTAATACAAAAGGATGACGGCAACGCCTCACTCTGCGCTTCTGGACGGTTAAAAAAGCTCACCCAAGCCCCACAAAGAGTTTAAAAAGGTTTAAGAATGTAGGCACCAGTGTTTGAGAGAATTTGTATGGCAGCAGTGACAATCTTGTTACATTGTGGGAGAATCAAGGCTGCTTTCATTTTATTCCCTATTTATTACAGTGGGAGGAGCTGATCCTGCCCCTGAAGAGCTGTTGAGTCTCCTGCCCAAACACCCAATTTTCACAACCAAAAATGTGGGGTGACAGTCAGCTCCACACAGGATATTCCTCATTTAATGGGAAAGACCTCCCTGTGTTTTATTCCTGGAGGAACCCACTCCCTCCACCCATTCCGGGGGATGTCCAGGAGCAGGAGATCCCTGTGGATCCCCAGCAGCCCAGGGGGTGCCAGGCAGACTCCCCACCCAGGGAGGTGTGGGGAGAGCTGCAGACCCTGCCAGGGGAGCAGGGACTGGCACAAGGAGCAGGGACGTGCCATCCCCTGCCCAGGAGGGAGCAGGGCTGTGGCTGCCCCAGCCCACCCAGAGCTCTCCGTGCATCCAGCCTCGGGATGATCTCCTCAAGGAGAACAACATCCCCGGGACACAGGGCTCAAATCAACACTGGCTTCACCCTGCAGTTCTCCTGCCTGATGCCAGGAACGGGTTTGGTCCCTGCAGCCCCACGAGCTGTTGCACAGCCCTGGGAAGAGCAGAGCAGCCACATCTCTGCTGAGCCCAAACTGCCACACACTGGTGCCATTTCCTTGGAAACAAACACTCGTTTGCTGGACATGAAAAGCAGCTGAAGTAACCGAGTGATTACAGACACAAGACACGGAGCAGCAGGGCCGGGAGCTGCTCCCGGGACCCGCGGGGGCTGCAGGAATCCTGCAATCCCTGTGCTGGCACATCCCTGCTCCAGCACAAGCATAGACATTGCAGCTGCCCAGCATAAACATGAACATTCAGTCCTCAAAGCCCTCCCAAAGCTGCCCTTTAATAGCCACAGACCAATCCCCGTGGCTGCAGCCACAGCAAAGCGCCTTTGGAAGCTTCCGATATCCTTTATTTTTCCACCCGAATTCCCCCCACCCCCCTAAAATCATAAAGCACACAGACTGCAGACTTAAAAGTGTAACAGGGTCACAACCTCTCTCCATCCCCCCAGCCCAGCCCAAACCACCAAGGCACGTGAGGCTGCCTCCCTCCTCCAGGCCCAGCTTCACTTCATTCCCCCTCTGCCCCACTTCGGAAGGGTGAAGCCAAAACATCTTCCTCGCTGGGAAGCAGCTTTCATCCCTCTTTGTCCTGACTAAGACAGATTCTAACAAAACACACCTGAACTGCCACCCTAATGTTTCCATGGGAAATGTCATCTTTAAGCACATAGCCTAGTGGACACTGCCACCAGTTGGCCTTTGCAGAATTGAGGTCAAATTTTGCACCCCCGGGCTCTGGCAGAGACGCCCCAGCCCTCGAGAGCAGCTGTGCTTTTACTCTTTGTAAGTCGTTGCTCGCTTGCCACGGGAGCCAGGTCTCTGTGGAAGGCTCACTTTGGTGCAATTCCAGCTTCCCACCAGCTCAAGCCCATCTTCTTTCCAAGCCAACGTTATTGCCCTGAATTTGCGTGTGAAGATTTTCAGAAAGAAGAGCAAACAGACACGTGCAACCCCAACCCTCGGGCCCTGCTCCTCCCACCACCAGCGAGGGGCCTGTCCCCTTGCAGAGGTCCATGTCCACATCCACATCCACAGCTGCTCCACTCCTGCTCCTCCTCAGTGCTCTGAGTCCGAGAGGTAGGAGGGCTGAGTCCATCTCCACACCAGCATGTCCTCCCCGGCCACCCTGTGGGACTCTGTCTGGATCCGGGACTCGTTGGAGGCCAGGAAATCCACGGCTCTCTCCCACACCCGCTTCATCTTCTTTCTGCAAGAAACAGCAAGAAAAAGAAGGAAATTAGAATCACAACCTCACTGTGCTTCCCTGCCTACAGCAACTGTGGCTGTGGATCCAAGCACCACTGGCTGCCTCCCGCTCCCTGTGCAGGCAGGGAAGGAATCCAACCACAATCCTGCTTTAGAGCAGATTTCAGAGCAGGGCAGGGATACACAGGTCCTGCCTGGAGGGAAGGTGAGACCCTCTGTCAGTGACAGTGGATTTCAGGCTCAGTTCATATTGCAAAGGGGTTCAGTGAGCAAACTGCCCTCCCCCTTCCTGCAGGAGGGATCTCCCCCAAGGGGACACTGAGGATCTCCCGTTTGGGATCCAGTTATTCTGGACACCTCACACCCAGGGACCGGTTCAACAGCTGATGCTCCATGTCCAAACAAACCAAATCCAAGTGCTGCTGGACAGAGCAATGACAACACACCTGTGGGACTGCACAGAGTGCCAGCCCCAGACTGTCCCTTCGATTTGCACCAGGTTCAGGCACAGCCTCAGTTGTGTCCAACCCTTTCCTGACCCAAAGGCTCCAGCCTCCTCCTGCAGTGCAGCTCCCAGCACTCAGCTGCACTTCAGAGCTGTGCTGAATCCCATCCCAGCCCTCCTGAGGGCCCAGATCCAGCTCACCTGCTCTGAGGAGGAATCAGACTGTCCCGGACATGGAAGATGCCAACGTAGGGGTAACGTTCCAAATTCCGTTCCCATTCCTTGTAGTGGTCCTGGACAACAGCTGGGGGGAAGGAGAACAGAACAGTGAGAGCTCCACACTGCAGGAAGCAGAGCAAGGCTACTTAAACTCACAGAGCTCCTACCTATGATCTTCTTCACCATGTCATACATGGCTTGTTCCTCTTCCTCCATCTTCCGCCAGCGATACCTGAGGAAGATCAGGATCCCCCAAAGAGTGATCAGACCTAGGAGAATAAAAACAAACAGAATTCAGTAACTGCCAGGTGTGTATTGCTGGAAGCAGTTTTAGTTCTGACACTGCTCTCCCCAGAGGCAGCTTTCACTCCCTGTGACTCAGGCCTGCCTGGAACTGAACCCAAGTGATTCACTTTGTACCCCAGTGCAGCTGCACCCTAAAATCCCTTGGTACTGACCACCCCCTGCAGCAGAAGAGCACATGTGGATGTGGGATGAGGTGGTTGGAAGGCCTCAGCATGGAGCTCCCCCCCAAGAGAAACCTCAGCACAACCACAGTTCTCCAAGTCCCAGAGGAGTCTTTGCCAGAGGCCTCCCCACAGTGATCACTTTGGAAGGCTGTCAGGCTTCACTGCTCCAAGGAGAGCTGCTTGATAAGGAAATAAAGCCTGGGGCTCCAGTGCCAGCCCAAAATTCAGATCTATATGGACAGTTTAGCACTGACAGTGCCCCCATTAGAATTCAGCACCTCAGTCTCTGCAATGAACAAAACTGTCCCCTGTCCCCCCCTCCCTGTCAGGCTGGATTATAAACTCCTCCAGTCACACAGCTCTCGTTATCACCTCACTGGGTAAAACCTCTGTCTCAGCTGAGGCACAACACACTATTCCAATAAAACCTCCAACCCTGAAATGCTACAAGTCATTATTAAAGAGGCTGGAAGACTTTGGGGCTTAGAGCAAGAAAAAAGAAAAACCGACTCCTCTAGGTAAGTTAACACACTTATTTTGCAGCCCATAATAATGGATACTTGAGGAATACCCAGAGAGCTAATCAGCTGGCTGATTTAAAGCACGTTTTAAGCACTCAGAGCACAAGAGCAGTGCTGCGGGTCTCCCTGTGCTGCCAGAACAAAGGTTAATTAGACATTAACTCATCAGCAGATTCATTTCACCTCTGTTAGTCATCTCCTATGGCTGGGAACGTGTGTGTGTGCACAGGGCTCGTCCCTGCAGCGGGCAGGGGAGGCTGAGCACTCCCAACTTACTCCAGAAGAAGAGGAACAGGTTGGTGATGGCCGTGACCACGGCGCGGCGGAAGCGGCAGCCGAGCCCCATCTGCGGGCGGGCAGATTCCAGGCAGAACACTTCCTCCACACTGGAAACCGGCCCAGCCAGGTCTCTGCCTTTCAGCCTGATGGGAAGAGGCAGAAAATCTCACTGAGGAGAGCAGACTCCAACTGCAGTCTTTAATCAAGGCGGGGAGAGCAAACAGACTGCAGATGCGGTAACTCCTCCCGCGCAGCACATGGGAAACGCTCCGACAGCCTCCTGCTCCTGCCACAGCAATTTCCCTCCTGCTCCTGCCACAGCATTTCCCTCCTGCTCTTGCCACAGCATTTCCCTCCTGCTCCTGCCACAGCATTCCAGGACTGGCTGCTTAGCAAGGGGTGGATATGGCTGCGGAAAGGCAGCGGGGCTGGAACTCCCACCGGCACACGGGAGCCTCCCGCTGCAGCCTCTCTGACAGCCCCTCTCAGTGTGCACAAGATTAAACTCGAAATTGGATTCCCACCTCCCAGCACAGAGATGGAAACGTTCCCCGAGTCACTGCTCCAGAGCTGGGGGAGGCCAGGGAGCTCGGGCTGTTCTCCTCAGCACTGGGGAGCAGGAACAGCTCAGCTACAACAGCGAAGAGCATCAGCTGTGTCTGCAGGGAGGGCACCACTGCCAACCACCCCCTGCACTGCTGCTCCCCTGAGCCCTGACCTGCTCCCAGCTCCCCCTGCCATCCCCTCACAGGGATCCAGGGGAGAGCCACCAGATCCAAAGCAATTGGACCAAAGGGGATTTTATTGAAGCTTCTAATTCTGTCTGCACTGAACAACCCATTAGACAAAGAGGTTTTCCCAATTCATTAGTGCTCAGCTCACAAACTGCTGACAGCTCGGATTTGATTCTGGATTCTACAGGAGCTGGAGACACACAGTTGTTTCCCCCGCCCTCGTCTTATTTACAATCCAAATTCCATGAAAATATTTAAAACATGCAGCAGAATCACCCAGTGCAAAGCTCATTTTCAGTCGTGCCTCTGAGACTAGCACCTGAAAAATAATGTCAAGCAGCAAAAAATGCCAGGGGCAGATTTTTGGGGCTGTTCCACACTCCTGCACGGCACACAGGCTCCAGGGAAGCGCATCCATTTGGGGAACAACAGAGCTGCTAATTATGGAAGTAAAAATGTGGGAGTATATTGTATCCCACAGCTCCTACTCGAGTATAAAAATATAGATTTGAAAACTCTGGATCCCAGACCACCTACAAATCCAGACCTGCCCCTAAGGAAACCATGTCCCATCCTGGGAATTGCACACACCAGTAATCAAAGCAGCAGACACTGTCTGATCCTTGGATCACAGCAGCAGCTGCAGGAATATTTAAGAGCAAATAGAGCAATGGGAATTCCTACAAGGTTTGCTCACCAACCCCATCACTCCAACTGCTGCAATTCAGTTAATCACAGACATATTTAGCAACGTGGAAATGCAAACAACTGTTAGACTTCAGAGTTGGCAGAGACTGGAGGCAGCCCACACTTCCCAGAGGAAGGTAACGGTGGCTGCAGACTTTGGTAACACTCTTTCCTAAGGTTATGGACTGAATGTTGTGGGTTTTCCCTGAAAACCCAGTACTGCTGGCTGAGAAACTCCCCCTCAGTGACCAACCACCAGCCACAGTCAGTCAGACCATCCATTCAGGAGGAATTTCCTCATGGAAGGGCTGTCAGGCAGTGGAACGGGCTCCCAGGGAGGTGGAGGAGTCCCCAGCCCTGGAGGTGTCCAGGGAAGGCCTGGCTGTGGCACTCAGTGCTCTGGGCTGGGGAACAAGGTGGGAACAGGGCACAGGGGGGATCCATGGGCTGGGAGGACTTTTCCAGCCTCAGTGATCCTGTGATTTAATGTGCACTGGGTGTTCTGCCAGAGGGACAACTGACACTCCAGATACCATTCATGGTCCATTCTCCTCTCCTCCTCCTTGGGATTGCTCCAAAGGATCCCAGAGTGTGGGTGACATTCCCTCCTGCACAGAGGGCTTTGCTGGCCAGGGAGCCCCCTGGTCCAAGGATGCAGCTCCACAAGTGCTGCAGCTGAAACTGTGCTGGAGAAAAGTTACCCTGGGAAAAGGAACCACGTGGGTAAGATTCAGAAGGGCTGTAGGTGCAGGACCATGGGCAGGACACCAGGACCACCATTTCCAAACCTCACAGGAGGCACAGCACAACCACTGATGCCACAAGCAGCCCTGGCCTCCCATTCCCATCTCTTGTCCCAGCAAGACATCCCTGGACACGGTGTCCTGCAGCCAGGGCTGGGGATCAGACCCCTGGAGAGCTCAGTTGCCATTTTGCTGCAGGGCTGTTGTTCTCCTCTGGAAGTTTGCCCAGCAGGCACTGCCACAGCCAATCCCACATTACCTGCTGAAGCCCAACGAGGTCTGGAAGCTGAAGGGCACCCACAGACCTGTCCAATTACACAGCAGCCAACCCTGAGAACTGGAACTTTGACACACTGGGCTTCCACTTACCAAATTCCCAAATCCTTGTTGCTGTTCAGTATCCAGTGCAGGGCAGCTTCAAACTTCTGTGGGGAGCTACCAGTAACATTCTGTGCAAGGAATCCATAAGAAGATTAGTTCTCCATTCACTTAAAATACTGAACAACATTATTTCATTACAGGAGTGGGAGGATTCCTTCCATATGGTCTGTCCCCAGGTTAATTCTTATCAGAATTCTGCAAACTGGAGGAAGGGGAACTAAGCCTGAAGGTCTGCCTGGACTAAAGTCTCCTGACTGGGTAGATGATGCATGAAGCACTCTGTGAAATAACACCATCCCAGACTGTTAAGACTAACCACTAAATACAACATAATCTTACTGACAGTTTACCAGGAAAGAAATGGAATGCTAGATCAGAGCACTCTGTCTCCTGACACTTTGGGGTATAGAAAAATCCTTCTTCTGCCCAGCCCTCAATCCAGGGAAATTTCTGGTTTCAAAAGACTGATGGCTCCAGTGAAACAACAAACCATTAAGTTAAGATTTACAGGGGCTGAATCACAGATGGAGGAGAAAATGATTTTCAAAAGAACTGCTGAGAACAGGACTGGCCAAAGGGGAAGGGAGAGATATGGGAAAGAATCAAACCAGGATGAGGGAGCAGAATGGATGGTGAATTGCTTTAGTGTCTATTATTTATTGCCTTATAAGAGACTAAGCACTAGGTCATAACAAAGCTGCTCACAGCCTACTCACCATCACGTGCTCCTTCGCCTCACTAACCCAAATGCATTTGCTTTTTAGATTCTCAGGGTTTCCACATTCAAAATTACCTGGTAAAAAAGTCAAATAGAAATAACGTTTGGAAAAAAAGCCCTTGAACAGCTCAGAACTACACTCTGAATGTACACCAAGAAATACTCTCCTTTCCAATCACTCCAGCCCTGAGCAGAATGACTCCAAGGTGAGATTTATACTGCAGGCAGATCAGATTATGACTATTAATAAAATGCTCAGCCACTGCACATAGGTTAGATAAGGGCAATCAAACCACACTTTGGAGCTGCTGTTGGATAAGGGCAATCAAAGCTCACACTCCAGAGCTGCTGAACACAGAATGAGGGGGGACATCCTGTTTGTGCCCCTTGCAGAGCACAGAGCCATGTCTGGGCCCTGGTGCCCTGCAGAGGGGCTCCTGCCACCAGGCATCAGGGACTGCAGAGTGCAGCTAATGACCAGCATTCAAAATGCTCCCAAGGAGCCCAAATCACAGCTCTGCCTTCCACCCAGGCACAGAAATGCTGGCGAGGAACTAAATCCTCTAAAACTTGCCTCACCAAGTTGACTAAACAAATGTGCTGAGAGACTGAGTAAATCTGGTGGAAATCCGGCAGCTGCCGAAGTCAGATTTGAAAAGATTTAGGAATTATGTGCAGCTTCAGCATCCAAAGCCTTCAGCCTTGAGGTCTGAAATATGGAAAATGGAACTGAAACACTTTTACTGATTACCACTGCTATGGATCTTGCTGAACAAGTCTCCACTCATGCACTGGATTTCTAGCAGCCTTCTCCATCCCAAAATACCAGTGATGGGCTGGATTTACTCAATATAGTAGAGACTGAGCTGGAGCCTCTGTGGTGACAGAAGAGAGAGGCATTCACACATCTGCTGCCACATTTCAGCAGAAAACGACAATTTCTTAAGCCACTTTTACTTTGTTTGTAAGAACACACCAGCTTACACTTAATGGCTCTGAGTGCCTTGAAGACAATTTCAAGATGTTGGTAGAATCATAAAACCAACTATTTCTACCTCAAATTCCCAGCATGTCAAGTGCAAACCAGGCCCACTCACCAGGGCAGAGCGATACGAGTGCATCAGCCGAGCACTAATCAGAATAAAAATAACCTCACCTTTTCCTGTTTTCCTATTACCTGACTTCCTCAGAGCTCTTCAAAGGGAACTGACTGTTCCAGAAACCACTCTCTCCAAAGTGAGGGTAGAAAGCACCAGGGAGAGGCAGTTCCTGCATGCCCAGGAGTTCTGTGAGTGACTGAACTCACCTGCCTGCACGGACAGGTAGTTGTAGAGCTCGTGCAGCACAGCCATGGTCACGTCCCTCTGCTTGGCCTGGCAGAACTGCTGGCAGAGACAGGAGCAAACATGAGCAGTGGCAGTGGGACAGTGGGAGAGCAGCTACAGACCCCACAGAGAGCAGCAGTGCAGTCTGGCTCAGTCCTGCCCCACCAGCTCCCACCAAACACACCCACAGCACACACTGGCAGGTCCCAGTCAAAGGTGACCTGGGGAATCCTCTGCAAGTCCCTGCCCCTGGCAGGGGGTGGAACTGGGTGAGATTTAAGGTCCCTTCCAGCCCAAACCAGTCTGGGATTCTGGGATTCTACAAAGTGCCACCGACCAGCCCAGCCCAGCCCAGCCTGCAGCACCAGCCACCCGCTGGGATGGATCTGTGGTCCCCAAAACATCCCAGCCACCAACCAGGACTCGGAATCCAACAGGAAATTTTCTCACTCCTAATCATAGAATCCCAGACTGGTTTGGGTGGGAAGGGACCTGAAAATTCATCTTGTTCTGCCATGGGCAGGGACACCTTCCACTAGCCCAGGTTGCTCCAAGCCCCGTCCAACCTGGCCTGGAACACTCCCAGGGATGGGGCAGCCACAGCTTCCCAACAATCAATCCTGACAGAGGGAACAAGCTGTGCAGACACTCCGTTCAGGGAATTAGCTGGATTAAATCTTGTACTGTTAAAGCTGCAAACAGCTTTATTGCAAACCAATATCACTTCTGGTACAACTGTTAAAGAAATTGATTCACATAATTGGGAATTTAAATTTTTATCTTTCGGAGTCTCATACACATTCCTAATTTAATCTGGCCCATTAATTCCAAGCCATCAAGTCCCAAGTTTTCTGTAAAATGATAGAATTAATCATTTTACAGCAATACTGCTATGGGTGGATGTTACACAGAATAATCACTGTTCTGTGAGAATCCCCCAGACCTGAAGATAAATAAATAAATGCTTACATCATCCGTGCTTTTGTCACAATCCACAGGCAAGAGATTAACTACGAGAGAGAAGAGGGTGAGTTAGCTGGCTGCAAGTAAGAGCTTTGATCAAGAGAGTAATTATCTTTTAAAAGAAGGTTCTGCTTTAAAGCCTGATGCTGCTGTTGTTAATCTCCCTCGGGCAGCACCTTGCAATGCAAATGGCCTGTTCAGGAGCTGCTCTGGGAGCAGCACTGGAGAAAAACAAATAAAAAGGTGCCAGTGATGAATCTGGTCAGCTGGGAAGTAAAAACTGGGGCTGGATGCTCTAACAGTAGGCTCAGGATCATCACCTTCCCAACTGCCCCCAAACCCTTCCACGTTCAGCTCAAAGCCATGACATGTCCATATTTCCAGCTGTTCCACCTGGGAAACTCTGCTTTAAAATCAGGTGGTGGGGAAGCCCCTTTCCATTTCTCATGGAAGCTCTGTCACATTTTAAGTGCCCAGTTCATTTGCTGCACTTCCCCTGCCCAGGATGAAGGCTGGGAAGGGCTGAGCCAGCAGAGGGAACACTGAAAGCACACACTGGGTGTTACAGAGACATTGTGTTCTCCATCCTTGGCCTAGCAGGAATCCATAAAATCCATCCTTGGCCTAGCAGGAAT